GATGATTAAACATAGTTATAGGTATGCTTACAATGGAGTGTTTACTACCACGACAAACATCCTTTTACAAAATCTATTACAGTACAACAAAACTGAAAAAAATACTTACAGTGCCAATTCTTAGAATTAAAACACGCAACTGCAGAATAAATGCGTAACTTCAATGTAAATTAAACTAAATAAATGTACAACACAATTTTGAGCGCTGTGAGTTCCCTCTTCTATGGCTTGTTCAATCACAATCTTTCCCACACTGGGTGTACTTAAAAGAAAAAAATGCACACCTATCCTCTTTCTGAAAATGATTGTAATGCCAGTATTGAAGTAAGAAAATTAACTGGTGTGGTCATTTAATATTTAAGATAAAATTGTAGTATTGACTGTTTGTTTGATACATTCTGTATTAAATGTTTGTTTGCAGTTGCAGACAAGAGTATTACAGGCAACCTTACACTTGCCTTAAAATTACGTTGACTAAGTGTTGAAAAAATGGTTAAGTTAAATTTGGTATGGTCTTGGTCTTGACTCGGTCTCAACCCCTCAAAGTCTTGGTCTTGTCTCGGTCTCAAAACACTGTGGTCTCGGCCATGTCTTGGTCTCAGTTTAGGTGGTCTTGACTACAACACTAGTCTCCTGCACACATATTATCGACCATTCCTTATTGTTAGGTATCCCCAATAGTTTAACCCTATCATGAAGCCCTGCTACATTAACTGAAGCTATGACTGTCATGAGGAGGATATAAGAAGGGAACATAGGTTTGCATTTTTCAAGTTCATCAAGGGCCCTCATGCATACGCACAAAAACTTGGCGTACGCACTTTTCCACGCTCACGTTCAGATGTATCAAGAGTGAAATGAACGTGGAAATGTGTGGTCTTCCATGTCAACTTCTTGACTGGTGTATGCACGTTTCTATTGCGTTTGAGCTGTTGCCGACACCTGGAGGTGATGCTGGGAATATAAAAATGTAAAAAAATAATGTCAAATAGGTAATTCCTCAATGTGATGTACACATCAGAGATACACAGATGAACAATTAACACCCCCAGGTGTTTGCAGTCACATGAGTGGATATAAAAGTTTGCTGAAGACGTCCACCTCTCATCCAAGAGCCTTCTTCACTTCTGACTTTTCTTTAACAAATTCAAGCAGGTCCAGTTGCTATGATTAATCTGCCAGAATAACCATGACCTGGAGGACTGAGAATCTTCACAGACAACAAAGTTGTTTATTCACAAAAATGTCAAATACGACACAAAAACTCAGCAGATCTAGAAAACCTCTCTTCAGGTCGCTGGACAGAAAAATCCATGCAAACAAAAAACTTCCAGCAAAGCTGGAAAACAAAGCATCAAATAGAAGGAGCAGAACTCAGGAGCACTGAACTTGGAGCTCTGGACGGTGTAGAGGGCACAGGAACAGTGCAGGAACATGACACACTGGCACAGGACAAAGGGAGACTCACACATTAAATACACAGGTGAGCTAATGGGGAGCAGCTGGACACAACTAGGGCGGAGCCACCAATCAGGAAGAGGAGATGACAACAGAAAGTAGAGCTGACAAAGATCACATGTAGACCAGACTACAAAATAAAAGCTGCCAACAGAAACAGGAAGACGAGACAGAAACAAAAGTTTAACTTGACCCCAGAGTGAACCACGACACCGTGTGGGTCCTGCTGCCCTACTGCCCCCGTGTGGGTCCTGCTGCCCCCGTGTGGATCCTGCTGCCCCCGTTTGGGTCCTGTTGCCCCCATGTCGGTCCTGCTGCCCCCGTGTGGGTCCTGCCTAAAGAGTCAAAGCTCTGTGGAGCCATGTTTCCTCAGCAGTGAAGACGTCATGACCTTCTTCACTGATGAAGTCTGAATATGAGACAGAAACTCATGAACATGTCTGTAGATGCAGCAGCAGCTCCGGATGCATCCATAGGAGCAGATCTATACTGTGACTGCTTCTCTGCTGTGAACCAATCAGAGCTCACGTCCATAGTAAATTCTTCTGAACCAGCAGCATGTCTGTTGGACCCAACCCCAGCTAGACTGTTCAAGGACATCTTCCCTCTAATAAATACTGCAGTATTAAATATCATCAGCTTCTCTATATTAACAAGCTACGTACTGCAGGCTTTTAAAGTAGCTCTAATAAAACCACTGCTCACAAAGCCTGCTCTAGATCCAGGTGTTCTAGCTATAGGCCCAGATCCAACCTCCCTTTAGGTTCTAAAAGTCTTGAAAACGTTGTTGCAGCCAGCTATGTGATTATCTGCATAGAAATGGTTTGTCTGAAGAGTTTCAGTCAGGATTTAGAAGCATCATAGTCCAGAGACAGCACTGGTAAAGGTCACTGATGATCTTCTTATAGCTTCAGACAGTGGACTAGTTTCTGTACTGGTTCTACTGGATCTCTGTGCTGCATCTGATCCAGCGGATCACAGCATCTGATTACAGAGACTAGAATGTTTACTGGACTTAAAGGAACTGCACTGAACTGGTTTAAATCATATTTATCAGACAGATTCCAGTTTGTTCATGCTAATGATGATTCTTCCACCTGCAGTAGAGTTAGTTATGGAATTCCACAGGGCTCTATGTTAGGACCTTGTACATGCTCCCTTTAGGTAGTATTATCAGGAAGCACTGCAGACATTTCCACTGTTATGCAGACGACACCCAGTTATATTTATGTATAAAGCCAAATGAAACCAATCAGCTGGACAGACTCCAACATGTCTGAAGGACATAAAGGCCTGGATCAGTGTTTCCTCTGGGATTGTTTCCAGCAGGGGGCGGCAGGCTGTCCGGGAGCCGTGGCAGCGTAAACACATGACATCTGACAGCAGATTTGACTTTTACAGCCTATTGTTGAATGGCCAGTTGAAAGTGGCTTTTTAAAGGCTGAATGAAAAAATTAAAAGAAGAAAAAATAAAACATTAAAATTAAATAAATAAAAATAAAGACAATAAATAATAATGTCTTGATGGGACTGTAGAATCAGTGGCTAAGTTTGCACCCAGGCTTAGAACAATGAATGTTTCTGGGTTTTCTATAGAAGAACTCTGAGGCTCTGTTGGAGGGAAATTCTGTGAGAGGCTCAGCAGCGCAGAGCGTCCTCCTCCAAGCAGCCCCGCCTGAAACACTCAGAGCACACTCCAGCCACAGCCACAGAACAATCACCAGTGATACAAAAATACAATAAACACAATCATCACACTGGTTTATTTAACGTCATGATAAACGATGTCTGCTTAAGTGTGAGTTCAACTTTTGCTAAATCGCTTCTCGCAGATGATGGTGCCATCTGGTGTAGAGGCAAAATCACTGAGTTTTTAATGAAGCAGACTCAGAAAGCCTTAACTGGTGTCGCTGACTGGGATTTAAGATCTCGCCGTCTAAAAATCATTTTCTGATTTTTGGTCCTAAAAAGAAAACTCCTGATATTTCGCTATGTTTGTTGCGCCCCTGGATAGGGGTGGCTGATAAGTAAAGAAGAAATAATCACGGCAGTGGTCAGATGACGTTTCCTCAGCGAGGGACTTTACTTCAATGAGGGAGACGCCACTGATTCCTGGTGAGTAGCTGCAGACCAAAGCAATCGATCCCAGACTGATGGGCCACTGGACAGCACAATGAGAACACAACTTAAATATACTTTTACCATCAGGAATCAAATTAGCAGCTTGCTTGAAAACATCACGTTATTTATTCCTTTTAAGAAAATGAGTTTTAACTAATAGTCCTTTTTGTAACTGAACATTTTTTAAAAATTTTTTAAATTATAAACCATGAATTCGACGTCTTTCACCTCTTTCATGAATTAACAGTGTGATATTTCTGCAGTAACGGTGTATATTTCAACTTGTCACATGTTCATATGGACGCCCATTAGAAAGGGTCAAAGTGTTGAAGCTTTTAGGTATGTGGCTGGATGAGAAGCTAACATGGAGCACTCATACTGAGAAAACTATATGTACATATGAAAACATAGTTCATGTTGAGCGCAGTTTGGCTGGCAGCGATTGGGGAGCAGATCATCCTGCTATATTCATCCGACATCCACCCAACCGGTCGAGGCAGATGGCCGTCCCTCCCTGAGCCTGGTTCTGTCGGAGGTTTTTTTTTTCCCCTGTGGGGGTTTTCGGTTCCTTCCCACTGTTGCGGACTGCTTGCGGACTGCTGAAGCTTATAGGGAATCCAGATGTTTTGGATTGTTGGGTGTTTCTGTTTCTGCCTTTGTGAAGCGCTATGAGATGACTTGTTGTAAATATGCGCTATACAAATAAAATTGAATTGAATTGAATTGAATAGATCGGACTATTGTGCACATAATCTATAGAGCAATGATCCGATCAGCTTAAAACTGTTCTGCAAATGTTGGATAGAGTGCAATCAAAAGCCCCGAGAATCTGCAGTGGAGCTTTAAGATCAACTCCAACACCAGCCTTACAAGTTGAAATGGGAGAGACTCCTTTAAAAATGACAAAATGAAAGTTGGGACTCCAGTACTGGGCCGGACTTGCTGGATGACAACATGGTTCAGCTGCCAAGTGCCTCTTGGGGAACTGTTGGGAGTTTTCCAAGAAGGAGAGAAAGGCTAACTTTCTAAGAACTATCTGTCAGACAGCAAGTAGAATGGGGCTGGAAAATAATAGGAAAGCACCCAGATGGACTAGTCAGTGTGGTCAGCCTGGGACTATATCACATGTGTTATTAACTTGTAGGACATACTCTGCTGAAAGGAGCATTATGTTTAAAGAGCTCTCTGACAGTGGTTTAACAACGTTTTCAATAAAGGCTATTTTCTCATCTGGACAGAACTCGCTGTTGATAGACAGAGCTGTTTTAATGGTTCTCCGCTCCACCAACGTCTATGTACAAATATAAAGTCAATGCTTCATGTTGACCAGATGGGGCAGCATTACGCTTGCATAGCGTGCAGCCTGCCGGGAACCATTGAAGAAGAAGAAGAAGAAGAAGAGGAAGACGAAGACGAAGACAAAGCCTGGCCATAGACCGTCTATGAGCCCAATAAGCAGCGAGCAGCAGCAGCAACCGGCCCAGCGGGACGCTCAACACTTCTCCTGGGGTTTTTACATCCACTAATCAAAACGTCGTACGCAATGAGGTAATAATACTTCAGTTGGTGCCGAATGTTGTTGTAAGGTTTCAACTAGCAAGTCTGTGTTCATTAGTCCCTGTCTGGTGAGCTCGCCGGTAGAACCAGTAATGTTAGCGTAGCTACAAGCTAGCGAGCCCTAGGAACCCCAAGCTAGCGAGCCCTAGGAACCCCAAGCTAGCGAGCCCTAGTAACCCCCCAGCCCTTCTCAGTAGTCCGGTTGTGGCAGTAGTGTGAACGGCATATTTCTGCGTGTAGTGCTGATGTGTATTTACTCTAACTTATGGATGTAGTAACTATCCTGTAGGCTAACATAAGCTAACGTCACCTAGTAGGCACTTGGAAGCTGCAAGAATGAATGGATGATCGAATGAATGAATGACTGAACGGATGCCTTGAATGGTCTGTACTGCCGTAAATCCTCACTGATGTTTAAAAGCGTCGTAGCTGACTGTGGTACCTGGCCAGGTGACATGTAACGGTCGCAATGTGACCAAATGTTGTCCAAGCTGAGTCTCCACGCATCATGACTCCACCTGAACGCTGCTTTGCCCAGTAAATGTGTGTTCTGTCACTGTTTGTGTGCAGAGGGGACCGCGGCAGGGGCCGAGGAGGCCGCTTCGGGTCCCGGGGAGGACTAGTGCAGGGGTGAGTTCCACAGAGCTGCTCCTATGTCTCCATGACTTGTGCTGCGTTAGATCTTCATGGTTAAACAGCCTGCTGGGTTCCAGAGTACGGCCAGACTCGGGGCCATCATGTCTGCTGTAAACTGCACAAGATTGTGATTTTTGACACATGTTCTATCTTCAGCATGCATGAGTCCCTGTGAAGGGATGAACCTGGTATTGCTGGGTGATGGGGCATGTCCTGGCACCCATTTCAGCAAGGCTCTTCATGCAGCAGCAACACAGCACTTCAGAGACCATGTCTACCTGCAGACTGGGCTTTTTGGTATTGATTCAGTTCTGTTTTGTACATGCTCTGTCCTCGAGCAGACTTTGTCCTTGGTTCACCCCATTAAAGCTCTGCCTCGGCACCCTGGGACAGATCTTTGCAATCACTGCAGAGATGGGGGTGAGCAAGTCACACTCTGAGAAAGATCTACAACATCTGAAAGTTTCTGTCCATTTACACACTCCACACCAGTACGATGCCGGCAAGGAAGGCAGCGCCTCGCAGTAAGTTCAACCCTCAGAAGCCACTGAGTTCCTTCACCAGCCGCCTTGCTGCCTAACGATGCCAGAGGAGACTTCCTGTTTCCCTGCAAGATTGGGTCTTTGTCTTCCACGTCCCCCTTCCTGCTGTCAGACCTCATAGAGTGGGTTGAGTATTTCATTCACTGCTCTGGCCACCATGTGAAGGAGAGGGATGCCATGGATACAGCGTTGTTGACAGTTTGAGGCCTTTAATGGTCAGGATTGGGCTCCAGCGAGGAGTTCATGCATTCACCTATCGACCTTCGCTTTGGGTGTTATCCAATATCAAAGCCTGTTTGAGGGGCAACAAAAGATCTGTGTGCATAACTGAAACTGATCAGTCTGGTCCTGTGGATTGGCTTGTGACACAACTAAATCCTGATCTCTGTAGAGGGTCGGGGTTAGACCTTAACCCTAACCCCGACCCTCCAAGATCAGAGAAATCAAAGTGGGTTTTTCAGAGAAGATGGCTTCAAGGAAATGAACAAAGATGTCACTGATGTTATAGTTTTGTACTTATTTGACTGATTGATGAGTTGAAGTCAGTGTCGGTGAGATGTGTGCAGTAATGCCACCAGTCCAGCTCTATTTGAAGCTCTTAGTTCCAGATGTACTTTGTTTACTGCTTACATGGTTATTACTACAAAGTGCTCATCCTTTCTTTGTCACTGTTTAGGTATCGGCCATTTGTCCCACACATCCCTTTTGACTTTTATGTGGTGAGTAAAAAAAACTACTTTGTGGAGGGGATTTATAATTTAGGCAAGAGATTCCAGACATGTGAAAGCTTTAAAGTAAACGTACGGCATACAGTGGAGCTAGCAGAACTCTTTAGGGTTAGAACTGCTCTGCTGCAAATGTACACACATCCAGCAGTGACGTGGAGTGAATCGCAACACGATGAGCAGTTTTCAGTGGTTGCAGTGTTGTCTGTGTGGGTTCAGGACACCGTGTTCTTCTAATAAATCTATGGTGGTAGTCTACTATAGGATGAGGCTGGTGGTACAGTAGATGTCGTACTGAACTAAGGTGACTGTCTTCTATCACAAGTGTGAGATGGCCTTCCCCAGAGTGAAGCCTGCACCTGATGAGACATCTTTCAGTGAGTGTCTTCTGAAGAGAAACCAGGACTTGAGCCCCACACCTGCAGAGCAGGTCAGTCCACCAACCTGTGCTGACTAGATATCCACCTGTCCCACCATTTCTCATTTTTGTTCAGTTTATAAAGTGAGTTGTTTCAGTTCACTAACAGAAACCTTGTTTATTGGTTCTTCTGCATTCAGTCCTCCATCTTGTCCCTGGTCACAAAGATCAATAATGTCATCGACAACCTGATTGTTGCGCCTGGCAACTTTGAAGTGGTGAGTCATACACCTAGCATCCTGAAGGGCTCTGTGAAGGCCGATACGCTCTATTTGCATGACTGTGTATCCAAGAAGGAGGTTCAGGATTAGAATAGTTTCCTATCAGTCCTGTCAGTGGTTCTGCCAGAGCAACTCAGAGCTCCACATCAACATCATATGATATGAACTTCAAAATATCAGGCATGTTTAAATATTTTGGAAACTATACAGCTTGATTTAAAAAAGGAAACTGAGTATCTAGTAACAGTTGTAGTCAGTTTGTGATTTGTTCTTTTCAGAATCAATAAATCAAGAAAATAACCTGTGAATACTATGAACAAGTGAACAATGTGAATACATGACATGTTAATCTTGCACCTGTGTCTCTTGGTAGCAAATTGAAGAGGTGCGCCAAGTTGGATCTTACAAGAAGGGCACCATGACTACGGGACACAATGTGGCTGACCTGGTTGTAATCCTCAAGATCCTCCCAACACGTGAGTAATCAGCGCCAAGTCATGGTACCTGCTGGAAGACCAGAACAGGCTATCGGGGACATGGTCACAAGTATCATCAGTATAATGTGGGCGACTGTGGCTCAGGTGGTAGAGCAGTTATCCCCTAATCGCAAGGTTGGCGGTTCCATCCCCTCCACTGTCCAGGTGTCCTTGGGCAAGACACTGAACCAGAAGTTGCTCCCAATGGCAGGCAGCAGCTTGCATGGCAGCTCTGTCACCATGTGTGTGTGAATGGGTGAATGAGACACACATCGTAAAGTGCTTTGAGCACCACCAGCGTAGAAAAGGGATATATAAGCGCAGACCGTTCACCATTTACAGTTCCAGGACTGGTGTCACAAAAGACATATGTCAAACCCAAACTACAGACTACCAGTGTTCTCCTTCCCAGTAATCCTCCTGGAGTCTACCACCCTCCCCCAGCCTTCTCTTCACGACTCCATGCACTCCTGAACGGATTCTTCAGGATCCTCTCAGCTCCGTCCTCACAGCCATCTTGATGTCGTCCACGTCTTCTAAACGGGTCTCCTTGATGACCTCCTTGAGCTTGGGGAAGAGGAACCAACCCCACAGAGCCAGGTGGGGTGAGTAGAGAGGTTGCTCCATCACAGAGATGTTCTTCTCAGCCAGGAGCTGTGGGATGCTCAGGGCACTGTGAGCAGGTTGTCATGGTGAAGCTGCCTCCACTGGTCCTGACACAACTCTGCCTCTTCTGGATGAAGCAAACGCTGCAGGATCTCTGTAGACGAGCAGGTTGATGGTCTGAAGGAGAAACTCCTAGTTTGGGTTTTAAATATATCTTTCGTGACACCAGTCCTGGAACTTTTGTGACGCACCTCATATGCATACACCTGGAACATACTGCTTGGTCGAGACATGCACCCTGTGATCTGTTTGTGCACTGTTGGCTCAAGCTTGTTTATTCTCATGCATGATACCATGGCGTCAGTGATGTAACTGGGCAGAGGATTGGGGTTCAGAATGGCCAGAGAAGCATGCTGGCTTGCATACGACAAAATCCGAGCAGCTGCAGTGGGACATCTGGGAATTTTTGGCACACTGCATTCGACATACTACGTATTTGGACATCATAAATCTTTTTGTGGCAGACCATATAGTATGACAGTATGATTATTGGAACACAGCTACTGTTTAAAAAAGGTTACTGATGATGCACTGATTATTTTGGAGTCTTTAAGGCTTTTAGATGTGTTGTTGTAGTCACGTAGCTATTGCAGCATCAGGATGTCTGGAGCTGGAAAAGTGTGCAGGGTGATGACGGTGGTCGGGCATCTGAAGTCTACCTGTTGTGTCGGTAGTCATAAGTGTGGTGCACAAAAACATAGATGTTAGAACAGTGAGGACAGATTCACAGCTCTTTGTAATTTAATAACCATAATGTTAATGATGTGTGTTTGGTTTTACAGTGGAGGCAGTTGCTGCTCTCGGGAACAAAGTGGTGGAGACTCTTCGCACACAGGACCCTACTGAAGGTAACACGCTGACGTTCAGGTAGAAGAAAAGCTGCATCTTTGATAGGTCGAGCAAGTTGTAGTGACATGATTGCATTTCCTTTAATTCAGGATTGCTTGTTGTGAGGTGTGACATCCCAGAGCAGCTGTTTGAAAACATTTAATAATATAATAATGTATCAAAGTATTTCTCAAACTTCAGGTGACTTCATGATGTAACACTGCCAATCTAAAAGAATGTGTGTCCTGGTTTCAGTGCTGTCCATGCTGACCAATGAGACGGGCTTTGAGATCAGTTCAGCGGATGCTACCGTCAAGATTCTCATCACCACCGTTCCTCCCAACTTGCGCAAGCTGGACCCGGAGCTGCACTGTATGAGCTCATACACATCCACAACACAGACACCAAAATGCACTCAGCATGTCCAAGAAATGTCACTGACGGCAGCCTCGCAGCTCGAGCTTAATGCATCGACAACAAACCAGAACACTGGAAATCAGGGATGAACCAGTTATCATCCTGCCTGATTATTTGGGTTGATATTTTTCTTTGTTCCGGCCATCGATATTGGTATTCTTAATAAAAAACAAAGTACATACGCTGCCTTGACACAGATGCAGCAGCCCCTCTATCTGTAGTCACCCTGTGGCCTCCAGCAGTGCCCCGCCCGCTGCACTACGACTGGTTACATGTCACCAGTAACAGCCAATCAGCAAGCCAGCGTGGTACACATGAGTGTGTTTGCAGAGCGGAGCAGCTGCAGTGAATAAGCAGAGCTTTCAAAGGTGAGGTAGAGGTATTGCTGAAAGTGTAATAGCCATGTGACAGCTGTTTCCTGCTACACACTGGTCACTGTATTTTGGTTCCACATGTCTGCCATGGCTCTCTGTGATTACCAATAGTCAGTACTGGCCCTTAAAAAAGCACATGAGTTGATCCTTACATGTGCCTTTGAGTCATGTCCCAGAAAGCACCTGAACTTTGGTTGTGATTTGTGACCGTGTGTCAAGTTCATATTAAAACACGACATATGTGACTGATGTACCAGTCATAGTTCATCACTTTGTATTTTCAAAACGACTCTGCTCCAGAAGGTAGCATTCGCTCTGGAGATGGAATCCTGTAAGTTCCTCCTGGTTGACACCCGTCCCAGACTGAGGACACTGTGTGCTGGTTCTGTATTGGTGCAACAGTTTGTAGTGAGGACAACATGCAGACTTGCTATTTATCTGACCAAACCTGATTAATGGATCAGAAAACATTCTTGTATTGATCACAATCATCATGTATGCTTCACTTCCATAGGACTCTGTTGTGTTTATGACTGACCATGTTGAAATAAAAGCCATGCAGTTCAGGAGAAGTCCAGGATTTAATCCCTGTGTCACTGGTTTTCCTGCAGCCAGAGATATGCTAGAGTTCATTTTCTTTTTGTTTCTACAGTGGACATCAAGGTGCTGCAGAGTGCTCTGGCCGCCATCCGCCACGCCCGCTGGTTTGAGGAGAACGCCTCCCAGTCAACGTGAGGCATCAGGCCTGCTGGTTTTTTATTGCACTGTTGAATCATTCTTGACTTTTTGGCTAATTTCTTATTCACAATCTTCAGGGTCAAAGTACTGATCCGCCTGCTGAAAGACCTGAGGCTGCGCTTCCCTGGCTTTGAGCCTCTCACTCCATGGATCCTGGACCTGCTGGTGAGTCCTGGCATTGGACCAGATAGTGCACTCATAAGTACAAAGGAAACCTATACAGTTAATTAATTGATCAGATTTATATAGCGCTTTTCTAGACACTCAAAGACGCTTTACACTGTCAATTATTCATTCACACACATTCATTCTGGTGGTGGTAGCTACAACTGTAGCCACAGCTGCCCTGGGGCAGACTGACAGAGGCATGGCTGCCATTTTGCGCCTACGACCCCTCCGACCACCACCTCAAACAATCCATTCATACGCATTCAC